CATCCTCAAGTCTTGTGTTTATCTTTCGGGATAGATATAGGGTTTGAGATATAGTGCTCTTTCATTTAAACTATGAAAAATATGGGATCAGTTTGATTTCATATTTTTCTAAACTTATATATATATATATTAAAAAATGTCTTTCCAAAGCGGGCGACGGGATTTCAATTCTGGCGGTCGACAGCTTCCAACGGAAAACTCCACCAACAAAAAATAGTGTCGAAAAAGACTCATGTAGATGGTATCCAAAACCCACTAGCACTAGGCTAAAGTTTAGATAAGACTAGTACATAGAGGACTCAAATGGAGAATCTATTGGTCCATGACTCAAATAGCGTGGTTAGCATCTCACTTTCACCCAAATAACAAACTTAACAATTTGCCCCCAAATCTACCCAATTTACCAAAAAACACCCCCAAACCCTAAATTTGACCAAAGTTCCCAATGTCACCCAAAATACCTAAATTTGTTCAAAAATCATCTCAACCCATTTGAAACTACCCAAATTGCCCAAAACTTACAAAAATTACCAAAATACCCTTTGTGGCCCAAACTTTCCCAAAATCTTCAAAGTCATTTCAAATGTCCCAAAAATCAATTTGGACTGTTCAATTGAACTAAATTTGCTCAATATGACCCATTTTGACTAAAAGCCCCATATTGCCCTTAAGGGCCCAAATTCCCCAAATTAACCCCAATGTTGAACGAATTTGATCCCAATCCTTTCTAATTTCAATTATAAACTCAAATTCATCATGTCCAAACTCAATTAAAACAAAATACAAGTTCAATTGACTTGCATTGTGAACTCAATTTCATTCCAAACCAAAATACCTAATCTTGACCATATCACCTAATCTTACCCAATTGAACCCTATAGCCCACTCACTTGCTTCAATTTGAATCTAAAACCCTTTATAACATTCTTAAACACCAAATTGTATCCTAAATTGGCTTTGGGCAAGTTTCAATTTCACCCAATTTTAACCCAAATCTAAAATTCCCAAATTTGCCCCAATTTAGCCATGTGCCTAAATTCCACAAAATTGAATGGCCTAACTCCAAAACTGACACCCAATTGATGTTGAGAACTCTTCATAACGTTCCCCTAGACCCTTTTAAAGTCTCAATTTGGATTTAGCCCAACTCTAGCCTAACCTAAACCCAAGTCTAGCCCCACATCCCCAAATTGATCAAATGCCCAAAATTCTTCAAATTGACACACCAAAGTAATTCAAATCACTCCAAATATTCTCTAAACTTTTTTTGACAATCATAGACACCATGTTTCTCAAAATATCTAGTTTAATGTCATGGTTAGCCCAACCCAAAGCTAATTTCAAGCTAATTTGACCAAAATTGAACCCATACAATAAAATTGACTTATCTGTGCCAAATTGATCAAGCCAAAGCTTCTGCAGCCACCTTATGGACCCTAGTGACCAATCTAAACCCACCTAGCTCACCCTATGGGAGCCATGGACCAATGGTCCCTTCATTTAAGGGATCTTATCCTTTTTTGGCCTAAACCAAGAAATACATGTCTTCATGTCATACCATTAGGAGTTAAGCATAATTAAACCTCCCCCTGGCTCACCTGGTTATCTGAACACCTCCCCTACTCTGGCCAGCCATACTAGTCACCAAAAAACACCAAAACCAAGAGCTCCCATGCCCTCATAAAAACCCAAACTCACCCATCTCAATCGGTCAATTCCAATCGGCTTTAGCACCTTTAAACCCTCCACATAAGCATTATTTTATACCCACTAATTGGCCCTGACAGTCACCCTAAGACATTTTATTTAAACCCTCTCCCATGGCCAAAACATAAGGCAAGCCAATTTCCTTAGGGTGACACTGCCTAATTGCTTCCCGACACTCTCCAAGAACTCTTCACCTCAAGCCCATCATTTCCCCCCTTTGGTTCCCCCTGTGAGAGCCCAATTTTGAGCTCAAAATTTTAGCTCAAACAAGGACAGATTTCTCCAGGCCTCCACACTCCACCAAACTTCAATTAATTGTGCACACACCTTCCCCTGAAAGTGAGTGGAGTTGATTCCCCGTAAAAGGCCCATCACAGAGAGCCCCTAGCATAGACTTTGATTAGCACATGAAATCCACTTTGATCTAAATGATACCTAGATAATTCACTAAGGCCTAAGATTTCATCTTGAGGTTCTACAATTCATATGTTCCGAAGGGGCTATGATTTCTACAACATAGGGGAATCACATTTGATTTCATGAAGGAGTATTTCATTCATGGATTTGGGTGAAAATAAATAGATAAATATAATTTGTTGGATGTAAAATTGAAGACATTAAGGTGATAGATTAAAATCCCCAATTTGGTCCAATTGGTTGGAAACTGATGCAAGACTGTTTGCCCTTAGGGGTGGGAGTAGTGGGAGCTCTAGAGTGGTAGCTGGTATCCTCCCAACCTAACCACAGAATTAGGGACCAAACTCTGGATTAATCAATGTTCTTTATGCATCGAAAGAGGTTAAAAAATATGATTGCTCCTATTTAGCACAAAACAGTTCTTATACATATTTTCAAATGATTTTAAATTCTTCCCAATCCATATACTCATTGTAAATGGAATGATGCTTTCTTAAATTTGAACTTTCCGTCACAACATCTTAGTTTGAATTTTCGTAAATTTTCTTTTGAAAGTTTAGCATTTAAATTAGTTAACTTTGTCTTTCAACTGCGTTTTAATTAGCATTCACTTGTTACTTAATATTCAAACTTTGCACTTTACTTTTTGTATTTTTAAAATTGTACTTTACATTATAATCTTAATAACTTAATTATAGGTATTTCCAACTTCCCTGCTGAATCGATATCTAGGACTTCATTAGAGCCCTTTATTACTTGAGCGATACGTATACTTGCGTTATTTTTAAAAGGGATTTGACAGTTTAAAGATTTTTAAAAGATATAACTATTTAAGTTAAGTTATTTTGTTGGGATTAATTTACATATTTGTTATTGTATCTACAGTGTGTTTTTTGTAATATTGAAAAATATTTGCAAAATTAACATGATAAATCCACCTGCTTCAAGTTCCGTAATAAGGTCCGACTCCCCAATAAGTGAAACTTGCACAAAAGCCTGTAGCCAAATATGCAACATAAGAGTAATCGAGAGCCCTTGCTAAAAATACAGCAACATCCACCCAAAACCAACATAATGGAGAATCAAGCTCAAACAAAATAAAGGAAGAACAAATGAAACCAATGATTGCTAATGTCATAGCCAAAGAGCATCCCAACCAAGCAAGCATACCCCACGTAACCTCTAGGAAAGCAATCACCCAAAAATATTTTTCTATCACTGTCTTCCTTGATGCTAACGTGAAAAAAATTGGACAACCATATGGTGTTACGCAACCACCATCAGACCGGAGCAAATATCCCAAGACAAGACAGAAAAGTCTCACGAGACCGCAGTAGTAGCATGAAAGATAACAAACTGCATAAAAAAGGAGAAGGCCACAGCCTGAATCTCAATCCAACCCCTGAGCCCAAACAAACAGGTTATCCAGCAGGTCCCCAACTAGCAAGGTATGCAAAGCTTAAGGTGGAGATGTCCCAACCGCGATATAGCTGCCAGTGGCCCCAACAATGGCTAGCCAGTTAGTGAATCTATTACCCTCTTTATGAATGAAACTCCATAGAAACGAAATATCAGAGGAGTTGCATTTAATTCTCTTAATATAATCTAGGATATCCCACGACACTTCTCTATTCCCGATGAAGATGTCAATAAGAACAGGCATCTTGTTGCACTAGACGTCATATATCACTAAAGATTATGTGAGTTAAAGCTAAGTTCTTCACATATGTTGAGGATTTGCTACTAAGCTTAAATATATGGGATTGATGAGTAAAGCTAACAATTTATAGAAGGTTAGTTTCCTAGGAAGGTTTCTTTTCTAGGTAGGAACATGAGCATATAGAGGGGTTAATTTTTTGCCTCTACTCAAAAGATTTTGAGGTAGTTGTGCCCCTCCAATTTGCATTACTGTCGATTCTCACAACTTATGCAAAAGTCAGAGGTTCTCATATTTGGACTCCTCCATTCTTCATAAAAATCTTTAAAAGGAACTAATGTGACCCCTTTGCCAACTAGGTGATCTATATCACAGTGAAACGAAGCACAAACTTGACATCTCAGGCGTTGAGACTATGTCCTAAAATGGTGAATATTATAGCAAGAAGCTCATATATTGTGTGTATTAACCATTAAAGCTACAAAAGATGTCAAATAATTTTTTTGTAGCATTACATATAATATATGTAGAGCTAGCCTGGGAGTTATATCCCTAAAATCTTCATAATTAACTCTCTAAATCAACTCCTTCGAGCAGCAATAAAATTCATCAAAATTTTTTTCTTTCTTCGTTTTTTAGTTAGTATGTTTGTGTGCTTCTTTCTAAGATGCATGCTGAGCAACATTTTAGAGTCCATTACTTTTTACAGTTCGGATAGAATGAGCATTCGAGCTAAGGAATTGTTTGGTTGCAAGTATGATTTAAATTAAATAGGATTTACTAAGTTTGGTAAATCCGGATTTCTTAAATCTAAACATTATTAAATCTTAAATGGTGTTTGGTTCAATTAAGGTTAAGCCCAATTAAATCTATTTGAAGTGTTTGGCATAAACCTATCTAAAATATATTTTTCCTGCAATAAAACCAATAAATCTAATTAATGAATAGATTTAGCAAATTTGAATTTAATAAAAGCAAGATGTAAAAATTGAATTTAACTTAACGGCAAATTTATCTAAATTATTTATTATTGTTGGTTAGATATAAGTTAAATCTAACTTGAATATTTTTAAAAATATTCTACCAAACCCACCTTAAATCTTCATTATATATTCATTATTGTTCATTTTGTTTTAAATTAGCATGCTGTTATGTTTAGAAAGTCAAGCACATTTTTTGTAAAATTAAATGACTCGCTAAGTGGCAGGTCAGAGAATACGCACGGAACACGATCAGTCGTTTACAACTAAGATCCCAATTCCCTTCTCCCGCGGCCTGCTCCGGTCACCTACCCAACCTCTAACCATCCTCCCCTTCTCCTTAAGTACACCTAATGTCCCTCCTTTCACCTATTAGCCTCTCTCTCTCTCTCTCTCTGCCTCACCCTGAGACCCTAATTATCCCTCCTAACACGAAATCACATGTCGCTCTCCTCCGTCGCAATCGCGCTGCTCCGAAAGCTCCACCACCGTCATCCGCTCCTTCGCTACGCCGCCGCCTGGACAGCGCTCCTTACGTCGATGGTTTTCCTGACATCGTTCTCACCGGAGATGGCTTTCGCCTGGGCTTTGACGCCGTCTTCACCCTTCGCCCGATCCTGCCAACGAGGGTTCGTTAGGCTTCCGGTAGACGGGCCTCCCGGACCTGCGATCTGTGTGCCGTCTCGACTAATCGCCCCGTCCAAAGCCGACCTTATCGTCCCGCCGGTTTTTGCCGCTTTTGTGGTGGCTGGGTCGGCCTGCATCGTGTGGGCGTTGGGGTTGTGGGATTTGGGTGACAGCGATGAGGAATCTACGTACCCTTTATATTAATATTAATCCGAAATTTTCAGTCATATTTTGTAATTTGAGCTATTCGAATATTGGGCTGTTCTTAAGATATTGGCAATTTAAAAAAAATTATATATGGAAGGCAGGAACAGAAGGTATGGCCTTTTTCTGGCTTCCAATTCTGTTTCAATTAGAGAGCAAACTTGGCATGAATCGAGATAAATTTAGATATATTTTTCAGATATTGTTATAATTTCAGTCTTTTTATTGAAGTGGAATGTTTTACTCAAAATTTACATTAAAATCAGAACTGTAATTGGCCAAATATACCGATTATATGGGCGTGTTAGAATTCTTTGAGTATGCGTAGTTACTCGTTTTGGAGCATCTGATTCCGAATGGTTGGCTTGGATTGGGTTCAACATTTATGTCTCTAGTTTAGGGATAATTACATGCATAACACTCGAGATTTTCTAAATTACAACATTTGCACAGGTCAATTATTTAAACCAAATCCGTTCATTTACTCGTGCAAAGATTTTGAAAAATTAAATCATTGGGATTTTTATAAAAACAAAAAGAAATATTGACTGGGATCTTTTTGTGAATTTTGGTGTTTGAGTGAGAATTTTAAAAAGTAAAAACAGATGAAGCGGTTAATAATTCCTTAAATAGCAAAGTTCTGAACGCTATTTATGTAATTGCCCATATATGATCTGGCTGAGAGTCTAACCCTTCAATTGTAGATGAGCAAAAAATATGCCCATTTAATTTAGAGGAACGGAATATCATCTAGTTAGTGCATTGGGATTGTCACAAAATCCCTATTACCCTTTATGCTAATTTGCTGTTAAGTACTTCGGGAGTACAACTTTACTCAAATGATTATTGGCAGGTCTAGTTAGTGCATTGGGATTGTCACATAATCCCTATTACCCTTTATGCTAATTAGCTGTTAAGTACTTTGGGAGTACAACTTTACTCAAATGATTATTGGCAGGTATATTAAGTTTTTCATGGAAATGTTATGATTTACAAAATTTTGCATGCAATTTCTTGCTGTTTAACTACAAAATATTTAGAGCCATAATTCATTGTCTTCCATCACTCATTATCTAATCATTATTCGCTTATCTTTTATGTGTTTTAAATAATTTGCACATGCTAATGCATATTCGTATTTGGATGGACCATGTTGTTTAAGCATCAAAAACAAGTTCAACGGATGTTTGATATTGAATAAGCTAAAGTCAACATTAACTCAAAATTTTAAAGTTTGAAATCATTTAAAACCTCAAACTAACTAGATAAGAAACTTGCTTTATTTCTCTTAAATAAAATTCCAATGGATTTATATTTTGGAATGTATGGTTCACTACTAATCTCTAATTGAATTAGAGAAATATTTCTTTCTTTTTCTTTGGGATAATTTTGAAATATTATTATAAATATATTCCAATGCTTAATTACAAAATAAAAAATTTCTACAACATCAGATACTTGCTTGGGTAAAAATTTAAGAAGATCTTCATCTTCTAAATAAATCATTATTATCATTTGACATTTATATAATTCAGATATAATTTTTTGATCGGAATTTCCATATATATATATGCGACTTGACAATTTCCAAGTGAATGAAAGAGTATCTGAGAATTAATTCTTTCGCTATATAAAGAAA